TGATCCTATGATCCTCTCTGAGCTGTGCTGACACAGGACAGCAAAACCAGCCCTGTCTGAAAGGCAGCTTTCTCAGCTATGAAAGGTGATTTCTTCCCTAACAGGTGAACTTACTGCATAATATGAGTGTAACAGAATCCATAAGTCAAGCTCTTCCACAGAATGAGACAATAACATTTTTCCTCAAGTCCCTCGATTCCCTTGTTCTAAGTACATCAACACTCAGCACTTCCAGGCTCACCCAAATTTCACAAGAACCCAGTGTATCATGGAGAGCCTGTTGCTTTCTTCTGAGGTTTGCCAAAAGCATCATTACATCAATACATTTTTTTTTTGGAGAAATTTTGTAATTCCAGGACAACTCTAACTGCTTTTATTGTTTCCTCCCATTTTTCAGCATTAGTTTGCATTAATATAACAAGAGAAATTACATAACACTACAGATTTTTTGTCAACTGCACTGAAAAATTTAACTAATGAAAGAGTAACTACACCCAGGCAATGTCCCAGCTGCTGGTACAGGGGAAAGAAAGGGTAACTCACCCTTTGTTTTGACATATAAGCTCCACGCATATATATATGTATATACATAACTAAGGCCTGTGTTGTGGTTTAACCCCAGCCAGCAACTAAGGACCACACAGCTCTTTGCTCACTCCCCTCGCCCCACAGTGGGATGGAGGAGAGAATCAGGAAAGTGAGAAAACTCATGGGATGAGATAAAGACAGTTTAATAGGACAGAAAAAGAAGAAAATAATGGTAATAATAATGATAATAATAATAAAAGAATTAGAATACACACAACGAGTGATGCACAATGTAAGTGCTCACCACTCACCGACCGATGCCCAGCCAATTTCTGAGCAGCGGCCCCTGGCCAGCTTTCCCCCTGGTTTATATACTGGGTGTGACGTCATATGGTATGGAATGTCCCTTTACCAGTTGGGGTCAGCTGTCCTGGCTGTGTCCCCTCCCAACTTCTTGTGCACCCCCAGCCTTCTTGCTGGCACGGCATGAGAAGCTGAAATTCCTTGACTTAGTATAAAGACTACTTGGCAACAACTGAAAACATCAGTGTGTTATCGACATTATTCTCACACTAAATCCAAAACGCAACACTATACCAGTGACTAGGAAGAAAATCAACTCCATTCCAGACAAAACCAGGACAGCCTGGGAGCTCAAATCTCAAAATACAAATATATTATACTGTATATAGTTGCGATATATATAACTACTATGCTGTATACTTACTATATATGGTATAATACAGTGTGTGTGTATATACACACACACTATATATATAGTATGTGGCATACGGCATACAATATATTTATAAAAATACAAATATTTCACTAGATAGTTCTGTCCTGATTCCTATGTCTTTATATTTCTCCCTCCTCATCTCCTACAAGAAGAAGATATCAGCAGCTCCTCTTACATGGCAATGTCCATGAGCAGTCTTCATGCTGGTTTGAATTGCAGACCATGAAAACGTTACTTATGGATGGTTTAGACCTAATCAAGAACCTGCTAATGTAAGTATGCAGTTTGAAAACAAGTTAGTATATTGTCAGTGTAAATGGAAGATAGGCATGTAATACTCACAAGCCCATCAATTTTCTGGTTCATTTGGTACCGTAAAAATGTGAATCTCGAGGAGAACGCTAGCAGAGAATAAGGGTTATTATACATGCTGTTACCGCAGAAAGGTTGGGAAGAAAGCATGACATTTTCATTTGAAATATGGGGCTGAAAAACATATTATATTTGTAACAGTGCATCAAAATCCATCTCCCTAAACTATCTCCTTGTGCCATCTTAAAACCCCTTAACAGCACTGCTTTTAAGAGCACCAGCAGAGATGCTGTAATGGCACATGGCAAACTTTACTGCACCTGCTGACAGCTTTTTCTCTTCAGCCAGTACAGAGCATTTGGTCACTGTAATGAAGGAAAAAACCAAGGATTCCATTATTTTCCCCACTGTTCGGGGGCTCCAAGCCATCAACATCATTCTCCTTAGAAAAATGAACACCTTGTATGTCAAAAATGACAAACGGGGGTACTCTAAGTGAATCTGAATTTCTCACTCTTGGTATTAGTCCTGAGATCAGAGGGAGGCCGTAAAACGGCAAAGCTGAAGACTACAAGCCAGCTGGAAAAAGAAACAGGACTTGTTACACAAAAGTCAAGTTATTTTGTAAATTATGTCTTTTTAATGATGGTCCTGATGTCTATGGGAATTCAGGGCATGGGGACTGGCAAATGAAACTCTTCTCAGCATACATCTGTCTGGCTTTGGGCAACAAGTTTCACCACTCTAGCTCCTCTATTAGGAATAAAGTGTTGTATACATAAAAGTAGCATGTTTGTTAACCACTGCCAAATTAAAGTGTGCTGTCACAGCGCATCACACATCATGAAACTGAGACTGAGGAACTCTGTCAAACTGTTGCTAAGGAGCTGTACGTGAAGAATCTAGAAACAGGCAACACCCTGAGACATCGGGCTGCTTCTGGTTGTAGATGAGCCAGTCCATAAATCTACACCCCAAGTGAGAAGCAGACAGACTCACTCAAACTGTAAAGGATGCCATTTCTGTGTTCAGGCCACTTACCAGCTCTTTGTCCTGAAGTTCTGTTTCCAGTTCCTGGAGACGTCTACTCAGTTGTGCATTTCTTTCCTTTTCTTTATTTATTTCATTGCATTGTTCCTCCAGTTCTTCAATCTTTAAGAAATGTCAGACATAAGGTGAAATTTTTCAAATTTCTGAAAATCTGGGGCAGAACACAGCTGATGTAAATGGGCATTGCTCCACTGAACAGAGGGAAGCACAGACAATTTTAATTTGTCATGGATCTGTTTCCTAAATCATAGCACTTGATTCACTGCAATGAAATTATCACTTAAAAAGAGCCAATTCACACATCCACTAGGAAGCCCTGAAACTGTGTTTATTCTCTTTTGTACAGTGTCTCATATAAGTACTCAGGAATGCACAAAACACTGAGCTGCTAAAATAAGTGGAACTGGGGATTAAATCTGCACCTCACTTCTCTGAAACCAACTCCAGACTATAAGGGATGGGTTTTCTTAAAGCAGCAAGGAGAAGAAATCTCTCCAGCAATCCCAGCTTTGCCTCCTCAGGGAGGTTATTATTCTAGCTGGAGTACGAGGGACACAACATCAAAACTTTGGGAGGAGAACCAGTTCAGAGCAACGTATGCCGCTTTGTTCTCTCGCCCAGGGATGTGCTTTGCTCTCTCCATACCTCCTCCTGCCAGCTCTGGACTTAGCTCCCAGGAGAGGCACTTCCCACAGGCTGACGGGCCAGCTCATTAAAGTATGTACTTTAATTCTCAGCTTTATGTTGCTTTGGGATTATAACTTCCCTCATTGGAAGGTAAAGCAATATGCAAAAAATTCTGACCCAATTAACAAAGGAGAAGGAGTTTCCCAGGGCGCTGCAGTGGTGCAGCGTGAGCACCAAGCAAGGAACCTACTTAGGGGAAAAGCTCAGAAAACCTTTCTGTGTAGAAAAAGACAGCACATTATACAGACAGTGCTGCTGCACAGTCTGGCTAGCCACCAATATAATGACTTTGCAGCTGTAGTAAGGCAATGTTTTGATAATCTCTTCATATTTAAGCTACAGCTACTGAGATGTGGCATGTTTCATCAGCTAATGTTAATGAGAACAACTTTTCTCTGCAACAGTATAGAAAAGTAAAAACTACGCTGCAAAGTATGAGATTTTCTTATAACATACTGTTCCAGTCTCTCACTTCTCCCCTATCCAAAAGAGACTGGATATAGGAACCCGAATCATGTAACAACTAGTATTAACTTGTTAATGTAACATCAGTTAATACAACTCTGGTTTGATCTCTGAATTATCACTATGCACACCTAAAATACATGTGAATAGATAGCGAGTATCTGCCTCAGCAAAAGGTTGCTCCACGTGGATTTTCAGTGCCAACAGACAATCCAGGCCATCTCCAACACTGAAATACTATTCGCAGCCTAGTGAAACTCAAAAAAATATGAAATTCCTTCCCTCTCTGAAAACAAACACTAAACCAAAAAAACCCCAACCCCCACCAGACTGATACAATCTGATCTCTACTCCAAACATCCCAGTGATCCATCTAAGTCAGCAGCAAAAGGATCCAGCTTTTACAAAGATATTCAAGGTGAACAGAGCGAAATTATCCCTGCAAGCAGTGCTGATGGAAAACAGGCTCCCTGGTGCCCAGGTTGGTGCCAGCCGTGTGTGGGGCTGTCACAGATAGCACAGTATTATTTGAGGGACAGTACCAACGACTACTCTAAGAGGAGACCTTAAAAATTTAAACTTCCGAATTAGGCTTTTGACGATGCCTCTCGGCAGGTTTCTGGATGAGATGTACCTGGCATCAGCGCTGGAGGACCCAGCTCACAGCCCGCAGTGCTGAGGACGTAACTCACGTCCTCATTCCCCTGCCCACCACCTGGATTTGCTTCTAATACTGAGTGGTTCTCAGCTTGGGTTTCCTGTGGGTAACCAGGCCATAACCATGCCTTCTGCTCATTCAGCATCTGGTAGTACTTCAGTGAGCTTTGAAAGGGGTATTGCAATAGTAATCCCACTTATAAAACCTTTCTGGTTTATCACTCCGGCCAGCAGCCCTTGCTGACACCAAGTCTCCCAAGTCAAGAGGCAGGGAGCTTCACTTGATGCGGCAGCACCAGTCCTCCCGCTGATCCCCAGCCCTTTGAACTTCCCTGCCTGCTGTGTGCAGGCAGCAGCAGCTCCCGTACCCCACCCCGTCCACCTCCCTTTCAAAGACAAAATCCTTCTCCTAACACACACAGAGATAAAGCAGCAGAAATCCAAGAGAAAGAGCAATGGCAGGAGCAGCTAACTGGAAGAGATGGCTCTCCTGTGGGTATGCTCTACTACCTTGCTCCTGAGCTGGTCGTTTTCCTCCTTGCAGGCTGAGAACTGCTTCTTCCAGTGCTCGATGCTGGCGGCGGACTCCTGCAGCGCCGTGCTCAGCCGGGCGTTGCTCTCCCGCAGCGTCTGCAGCTCCGTCTCCCACTTCTTCACATTGGATGAACTGAGAAGAACAGGACGCCATTAGGTGGCTTCACCTTATAATCCTGCGTATCATTATTCTTTACCTGACTGCAAACTCATCCACCCCTGGTGTGTGTTTACCAATAACTCGTTACAAGATCAAGAATACTCAGGTGTAGGTCTTTAGCCACTGCCTGCCTAAGGAGAACATAAGCCTCAATTTGCCTGTCTCTGCCAAAACGAAGGGATCTTTCAACTCCAGCGACAGTGACCTGTGTGTCTGGAACAAAAGTCCTGCTGTCAAAGCAGGCTGTAGGGTTAAGCTGACAGCTGGGATCTCCACTATTTGCAAACAGGGGCTTTACTCTGGCGCCCTGTGCCCACCTCCAGAGCTGCGCACCCGCTGCAGGGCAGGCCTGGGGACGTGGTACCCGTGCAACAAAGCGACTCCACAACATTTGCAGATGGTACAATAATTAAGAACAGAAGATGTCAGGGGGTTGACACTACCTATATTTGATTTTTTTTTAATGCTCAGTCTTAAATATAAAAGTGTTGCATAATGCTGAAGAATTAAACTACTCATTCCCCAAAGCTTCAAGCTGCAGCGTAGAGCACAAGATTAGAGAGTGAATGGAAGGAAGGGTTTGAAAAAAAACACGCTAGCAGCTACTTGCCTGTGGAGGTGTCTTCAGCGGGAGGAACGAGCAAACGTTATGGTTTGAAATAGGTTATGCTATTGAAATGTCAATAAAGAGAGACGACGTACTTCAAATACAATATATGCAACCTTAAAATTGCTCACTGGGTAACGCTGCTTATGGTGCTGCTGCCTTATTTTTTAAACAGCTTTTTAAGAGTAGCTTGATCCTGTTAGATTTTCTTTCCACTCACAGATATATTCACATGCAAGAGGCAGACAAAGAAAGATCCCAGTAGGAAACTATTCTATTTTAATGTCGTAACTTTGCATATTCCAAAGCCTGTATTTTCACTATGGCTGCAAATTACTCTTCTCAGCATTTTCAAATAATTTATCCAAGCAAATAGCAAAAAATGTGACTTCAAGGGGCATTGTCCACAGCTTTAGAAATGTCCCCCTAAGACTTCTAAGCAGCCCGGTGAAAATATATTTCTCACTTCAACTTTTTACGGTTGAGTTAATTCCCTTTTATAATTTTAAATATCCATATCTATTTTCATCAAAGTAAATGTAGCAAACTCAAAGAGGAAGAGAGATTGGCTTCACACGTTATCAGTAGCAATCGCTCCCCCATGGCTTTAATGTTAATTCTGTAGCTCTAAAACTTCCCAAACAAAGGTGGTGATAAGAGTTGGCATCAGCAAAATAAAAGAGATCTTATTTCATCATGAACTAGATCAGGAAAAAAACTAAATGGTAAATATCTCACAGCTGGATACCAGGCAGTACTTGTTAAACTCTGCTCATTCGTCCATTCTGCTGCATCATTTTAAATGAATGCAATTACATTTGTATAATTTCTGTTAATATCATTAGTCATCAGATAATTACAGCACACTATTCCAATGCAATTTAGGTATTAAAGGAACTTCACCTTTGGGCTAGAGCAATTTTTAATTTATCATTCTCAGACTTGAGATGTGCCTCAGCAGGACCACCATGTGATGCCTTCTCATCATCTGTCCCATTCACACTAGATGCTCGAGTGGAAGATGGTGTTTCACGTCCAGATTCCTGCAGCACAACACACAAAGGAACACTGCATGTGTCCTGCATCTCCTGCAACACCACAACACCATTTCTTTGTAATCTTGATCCCACACCACCCGGCTGAGACCCAGGCTGTGTATGCTCTCCTGGCAGAACAGCAGTAACAAACACATACCCTTTACATCTTGGCTGCAAAGCTGATCAGTTTAAAAAGGATGAAAAAATGATAATGATACACAAAATGGAAGTTTAAAGCGTTCAAATAATTTTTTTAAATGCAAGGCTTGTGTTTTCTAAAGGTTTAGTTTTTTTAAGATAATGAAACAACACAGTGCACCTGGAAACACATAAAATCCAAACCAAAAAAAAAAAAGGAGATACTGCTCCTCCAAAGAGATACCTTTCATAGACTGCTTGGTGCTGATCACCAACAGAGAGCAAAGTGAACCATAAAGGCCATGACCAAAGTCTTTAAAAAAGGAGTATCCAAAGTCAGCCTCTCAGATGACCCCACACAGGGTGTCAGTTGCAAGACTAAGAGTGTTCAGCAGCTTTCTTCTGATCATGCATCTGAATTCCTCTCTGATCAAAATCCGTCGAACTTTCCTCCGAACATTAGCCCAAGAACACCCGCTGAACAGGGTTCATTCTTACCTAATGCAATGCATATGAAATTACAGTCAAACATAGAGAGAGACTGGGACAACGCTCAACTTCTTCAATTTCTAAGAAACCCAGATCTCCCTGGACACAGAGGCACTTGCCTATATCAAGGTGTGCCACCCAGAAAAGTGTATTGTACACATACGCAACACCGACTTCTTCCAGCCACTCAGTGAAGCACTGCCTCTGCTCCCACACCCCGGCTGCCCATTCGTCACACCTAGGCAATGACACACAACGGCCACAAAGTCAGCCTCTCCACTGGCAAACCGAACTCCAACAAAAGTAGATTAGACAGGTGACAAAAAGAAGTATCTCGATGAATCTCATTTACTGTCTGCCGAAGCACTACGCTGACTTACCTTCCAGTGACCCAAACTATGTGTAACAGTACAAACGAAAGGATGTATAGCTTTCCCTGTTACTAGAATGTTACAACAGCTCAAAAACTGCTGAAAAAAATTAGATTTAAATGAAGGCAAAAAGCATGGATGGATGAAAAATATTCCTCTGACAATGTTAATGTGCAGCAGCTGACAATTACCTTTGGCAATCTTCATTTTATATACTTTAAGCTTGCTGCCAGAAGCTGGTACAGTCCATTAGAAAATTTAACTTTAAATTATTTATCCTATATGCATACAGGTATTAAAGCTAAATTACAAACCTGGGAATGATTGCTTGAGGTCTCAATTTTCTCTTGAGATCTGTCTCTCGCTAGTTTGGCAGCTTCTTTTACTTCTTGGAATTTATCTGCAAACTGGAAAAAGCATGAAAGATACTTACTAAAATGATTTGTCATCTATTAAACCATTCAGATTACTGTCTTTATATGGTTCATAATCTCCAAAAGTGAACAACTAATTTTGATAATTTAAAATTTTTGGCAAGAAAAAACATTTAAATTCTTTGGCAGGGAGGTTCTTTCAAAAGGAATGGGGGTGTTTCAAAAAAAGGGACATCTCTGTAGCTCTGGCTGATCACTGTAAAAACCCACGGAGAAAAAGGAGCTATTAGTGTCTCCTGGTTTGATTTGGTTTTATTTCCTCCCCCTCCTGTGTTTCACTTGGTGTTGAGAGTGTATTAAAATTGAAAGTATAAAAGACATATGTTTGGATAAAAAAAATTACCAATGTCTTCTATTCGTAAGAGCAAGTTAATTAAATTAAAGAATGCAAATGAGTGCATCTGCAGGATGCAAGCAAGGGATTATCAAGACAGAAAAAATGAGAAGAAGGTAGATCTGAATGTACGATGGGGCCATATGAAAACACAGCTTTTCTGGTCTGATTTTCTTATTACTGGCAAAAACAAAGGCAGAAGACTTCAGGGGAAGGCTTAAATGCTTCCTGTAAGAGGGTTATATCAAACTGGGAGAGGCAGGGGAAAGGAAAGATAAAGATGAAAAGTAACGATCCCAATCTCTACAAGTTGCTGTAGGACATCTGCTCCAAAGCCAGTCTGGCACTTTTGAAATACAAGTATTATCACAGCCAGTCAGGGTTGAGGGTTAAGCAGTGTCTGAATTTCTAAAGTTTTAAAAGGAGGATTGCAAAGATGGAAGAAAAGGCATAATACTTCTTTTTTTTTTTTAATAAGATGTATCCAGTATAAGAATGAGTAACTTTGTCTTTCTGCTAAAGCAGCTTGGTCTGCTGGAGAAACTTGAAATGCTAGAAAGGAAAGACATATTAGAAGTAAAAATATAAATAGATGTATTTTACTGCACAGTTTGTGAATGAAAGGATTGCCATGATAATTCAGAACACTTATGACAAAATTGTAAATAAAAGCACAAAAAACCCACCACATTTTATAGTCAAGGAATGGGAAGAATCATTATCCACTTACTAATCTTACTTTCTAACTTTTAGATTTACAGCAGGTATTTACCATGCTCGCTCTCAGTAAATACTGGGACTATAAAGACTGGTAAAACAAATCTTCTCCAACTGGTCTAAGAGAAAGCTGGATTTACATGTGGAGGCACCTGTGGTTTGTATAACACACAAATGGAAATTTCCAACAAACACACATACATCATTCTTAAATCCCATCACATTCTCAAAGTTGAGTGAAATTTTGGGTGTAGACTACAATCTGTGACAACGTTTATGAATGAAGATCAAGCTCTTGAATCCAGCTGTTTTCTATACAACAGCTGAAATTGCATATGCAAAGTCTGTGCTCTCGGATGGCAGCAGTTGCTATCTGATGGCATGTGCAGTCACTACACACACAAATGACTTGATTACCTTTGTAGCACTATAAAGATCCTTAGGAACAACTACATTACATTTTTGCCTCAAGTGATTTAACTCCCAACTTTACACAAAATGTGTCTCCTGCTGTGAAAAAACAGCTATAACAAACTGATTATTTCTAAAATACCGTATCAACAGTAAGTTCTACACTTGAGTTTCTTGCAAATAGTAAAGGGCTGGTTTGAGTCTCTCTTTTACAATAAATCTTTATGGGCAAGTATGAAAAATTTATGAGGGTTCTTCATGGACTGTATGAAATATGAAAAGACAAAAAGAATTGGAAGTGATCCATCAAATTTTATTTTTGCAGCTATCTTCATAAAACACACAGGAGACTGCTGTGAAAAATTATGAGAGCTGAGAAGAAAAGGACATTTTTCCACATTTCCATAATAAAAAAATTGTATATGGCTGAGCAAAGCTAATCTTCAATATAAAACCAATAATGATCTCATTGCACAATAGATTTCGGTCATGTCTCTGGTTTACCAACACATGTATTTAACAAATTTGCTTTTAGAAACAAGTACAAATAACTGAATTTTTCACCATTTTAGTGACAGCTCTTCGGCTTTAAGAGTCAAAGTATTACCCTTCATTCTTATCATTGTTACAAATGTAAAGATGGCTGTAACAGACACAGTGGTGAAAGACTGTCTCTGGGTTTTGTTTATCCCATAAACTTGGAAACAGTCAGCCCATAAAGAGTTCTGCCGCCGCTTCTTTTTCATCCTTAGCTAATTAATACCTGCTAGATTTTACTAACGGTCTATTTTTGAAAGCTACACAGGATCACTTGGCTTGTTATGAAATTAAAGCCTTTCACTTGATTACTCTTCTGAGTGCAGCAGCGTGGTGGTGACAGCCCAACCTTGTGGAGCATTACCAACGCTAATTGCTACAGGAGCAGACCAGGCGTTTCTGAAGCTATCCAGATCCCGAGGCCATCTCTGAGAGTGACGGCACGGCCACACGGTCTAATCACTGGCCAAAATGAGAGAGATGTTTTCTCTCCAGTAACAGATATCTTCTGTCTCGAACATAAATAATTGACAAATAATTGATGCTACAAAATTGTGCGACACCTCCAAGATCTACGTTGATACTTTGATGTATCAAAGCATTGCAACAATAGGGAATGCTTTTTAAATGTGAAATTCCTCATTAAAAAGTGAAATAATCTTCTGTTTAGTAAATGAAAACTTGGTAAATGTGGTCCCGAGGGGCAACATACGTATAAACACCCAAAACCAGCTAAAAAATCTTCATGCTCCTTCTTCCATCTTTACTCCTTTCATCTTCCCATCCCTCCACCCTTGTCCTTGAGTAGAGTTCCCCAAAATTACCAAAAAAAGACTGGAGTAGGAGAAACACCAACTAAACACCACTCCAATAGTCCATCGTGGATTATATGACGTGTCTTCCCATGCCCCAGGAAGCTGTGAGACTAAGCTGCAACATGGAGAAGATTTGCTGCTACCAACACTTGTGAAGCCTTTTAGTCTGAGGCTGCTGCAACCCATGAGCACTGTTTGATTATGAGTCTTCGCCAGTGAAATTTAATGGGGACTCAAGGATGCTACTGTCATTGCACAAATTATTTAAAGGCTGTTCAAATCTGCAGCCAGCTTGTCACCTGGAGAAATATATATATATTTTTAAATAGACCTTCTTAACATTTTATACATTAAAAAGCATTATTTTGTATGCATAAATTTTAAGCTCCTGATCTGGCATTGTATTTTATGTCTCCTACTGACAAATTGTGCCGGTGTCAGATGAAACAGCTGCTCTCACCCAAAGCAGTCTCATAAATATTTCATTGCCCTCTCGGTTTGCAGAAGGCTGGGTGATGTGACATTCCCACTGGGGAGCACCGCCGTGCCATGACCCACAATGCACGCATTGCTTTGCCCGCAGTTTTCTCTGGATGAGCCCTCAGTACTGGGTAGATCTGCAGCAAACAAGACAATTTACTCCAGAAAGTGGCCGGTAATTTGCTCCAGCACAGCCAGTGCACTGCTAGCACCGATGCCAGTTGAACTGGGGGGGCTGAGCTGCATGCTGGGGGCAGGGGTAGGCTCTGCCTCCAGCTTTCTCCCTGCAACACAGTGCCTGGCAAATACCACACACGCAATGCGCACGCTTGCACAGAAATAAAGTCCAGTGCTTCCCAGACGCTGGATGCAGTTACTTTATGATGTGCAAAGTCTGGTTTTACTGGGTTTCTTACCTGTATAAATCTTTGTCCCTATGTCCTTGACTACCTACAGCTCCTCAGATAGCATGTCTGCATCGAAGCATCCTGAATGATAGAAATTTTACTTAACTGCTCCATGTACAAAATACATCACTACCTTTACAGCATGAGCCCTGCCTCTTCATCACATCCAGGCACACCATTAATTTTCTTTTGATTCCTGTTTCGATTTGGCTGCAGCAATGTTTGAATAATGTCTTGAGACCTTTCTGAGGCACAGGGTGGGATGAGGGGAAAGGAGGGTCACGCGTCCTGCAAGAGGGGAAAAGGACCCCGAGTAGGACATTAGCTTTAAGCCCTGGGATTCTCCCAATCAATGTGAATGGTAATTAGGTTACTAGGTCACTGAATGCCGTTTTCATTAATGACTCATGTTTAATTTGAACTGCTTTTCCCTATAGGTATGGATTAATGCTTAAGTATCTCAAGAGAAGCAAGGCAATAGAAAGAGGCAATATCTTTTATTAGGCCAACAAATATACTTAAAAATGCAGATAGTTTTAGGTGTGCCAACCTCTTCTCTTGCATTATTATTCATTGTTTTCAGCAGACATTTTTCAGCTTTATTTATTTATTTATTCATTTTAAGCCAGGGCTATTGAACCCTGGTTTAGCGGAGTTTTAGTGTGTCCTTCCAATTCCTGACTAAAAGCTTCAATTATTTCCAGTAAAACTGGCAAGCTTTAATTTATATCTTTTATAAGTGTATAATGATATCAACATAAAATGAAACTTGATTTTACTATTCCCAATACACTTATACATCTGTAATCTCTCCACCATTTCTGATCTTTCTTACTAATGGTTCACTAATGAAACTGAGGAGCATGGATGATAAGGGATATCTTGCTTTGCATGGTGGTAATAAACCAGGTTTTCTTACATTTTCCCAGCTAGATAGCTGTCAGGTTTTTTTTTTTTTAAAATAGATCGTCTCAAGCCACTTTCAGAAGTGCTCCCCTTAAGCTCCCTTTCAATATTCTGACCAGAAAAAGTCTTTCTGCTGATTTGGAAATCTTACCCCTCAAGTAGAAGGCTGTAATATTGGCAGTGGGCTCTTCAGCAGATCTTGCAGTGCAAACAGATGTGCAAACCGATCTGGAAAGAAACACAGCTGGTGCTGAGGTCCCTGTGCCCACACGACACATTTTCCAGATTGGCTCCAGTCTGGCCACATGAACATTAAAGAGCTGCTTTCTGATACCAGCATCAGATTTATTCCAAGTATGTGTTTGGACTGTTTTGGAGAATATGGTAAAATCTCTCCGGTCAGGGTGCAAGGACCTGCGAATGTACCTTGTGCTGTGTCACACCTCTCACCTCCTGAGCCAGCCTCAGCACCACCTGCCCCACGCGGTGCATGGTGCATGTTTCACCCCAGCCACCACCCAGGTACCATGTGGTCACCTGTCATGTTGCAGAGGTGTGACTTCAGTCATCCAGGATTAACAATTACTACCCAATGGTGCTAATTCTTTCATTTGGCGTCCAAAGGTTGCATTGCATCATGCTTATTTGTTACCCAAAACAAACTATTCCCCTAGGTCCAACTTAATCCTTCCATATTCCCATCTACTAATTAGCTACTATGAACACCTCTTTGCCACAGGAGTGGAGAGTATGCATAGGTGAAATGAGCAGTCCTCTACACTTGAGTAGCATCATAAAACATAACCAGCACCAGCACCTCATTTTTAAAAAATAGTTTTGCATGTGATTGATTGGGTGGCCTTAGCACCCCAAGAAGACCAGATTATTGCTATGGCACCTTTATGGACACCCCAAGTCCAAAATTAATTTAATGTGAAAAGTAAAATATGCTTCACTTTTAAGAAATACTTGCAAAAAATACAATTCTCTGGAAACTGCAAAAACTTATTAAGACAGACTTAGTAAAATAAACTCCTGTAACAATTCAGTTGACAGAAAAGTCCTCCTTCTATTGCAATGGTCTGCCTTTGCTATTTTAGACACTACAAGAATCATCCTGTTCTCCTGATTCTTTTCTTATCAAAGCACACAAGAGGACAGCAACAGGAGAGACTGCGTGCCATACCCAAGGACACAATGTTAACTGACAAAACCCAGTGCCAAGTAGCCATGCTTCAGGTGTCAACTATGTGTTAGATAAGTAGGTTTTTTTCACTTGGCAAGACCACTAATGTAACGACAGAGGATGTATTTTAAATTGCTGGTTATTCATGACAAGAGGCAGCTCTAGACTTTATAAGCCTGCTGTTGTAGCCAGTCCCTGGTCCAGGGCAGTGTTGCATTAATACCAAAGCCATGGCCAGGTTTGCCCTCTGAGTGATGCAGCTCTGCCAGTAAACCTGGGGTCAGACCCCCCCCGGCTACTCATCCCCCGTCACTGCCACCTCCTCAGGTCTGTGATAAAGCAGCTTTGGGTCAGGGCTGCAAATCACACCACTGAGCTGAAATGCCAAAAATGCAGTATTATTTCAACCCAGATGAGTTTACCGAGCCTCCTGAGAGGACGGCCTCCTCAACGGCGGTATGTGCAAAACGAGGGCATCAACAAGCCCTAGGGGCTGGCAACTCCTTTACCTCGGTTAGTTACCAACAGCAGCAAGTCATCAAAATGCACGTTTCTGAGGCTGGGACAGCAACTCTCTTCCTTCAGACACATTAGGCAGCCCTAATGCCAACAGTCCTGGCATATCAGTGGTTCCCTTTCCTTTTGGTGCCACTTTCAGCTGAAATAAGCACACAGGCCAGGGAGATGCCAAAAAATACTGTGGAGTTCAGGTTGTTTCTGTAAACATCTGAACACACAAATGCTTTCAGCCATGCTGGGCAAGACACTGTTGAGATCACCTCACTAGTACCATCGTCAGCGGTCAGACTTAATTTATAGTGTTCACTACAAAGTTCGCAATATTGCCTGCTTCTGTATATACAGACACTGGGTAATTATAGGAGATGGGCAACTTGCACGGATGAAGAGGACTCATGGAAGCTTGCAGCTCAGAAGAGGTTGGGTGGGTATATGCAATTCTTTATTAGTAAGAAACAAGACGGCCTTTGCAGAAATTGAGTGAGCCCCGTTACCTTCGTCAGCTGCTGCTCGGAGGGAAAGCCCAAACCAAACACAGTATTTGCTCTGCTGTCTGCCCACTGGCCGAACTTCTGCGATGTTTTAGTGAAGGTCATGTTAGGGGTGATGGTGCTGTTTATGATCACCTGTTTAAAAACAGATCAAAAAAGAATTAAAAAATAGAAGCCACATCAGAAATGCATATCCTAGCAATGATATCATCCAAAGCAATTAGCAGTCTAAATCGGGAAATTGCTGTATTCAAAAGATTTTTTCCCAAAACAAAACAGTTTCTATCTTGTCTCACTTCATGCAGAAATTTTGATGTTTCATCTTCTTTTTCCAAACCACTACCATGGTCCTGCAGTTAAACATGGCTGCAGGAAGGTCATCGAACTCAAAGCAATAGCAGGGATACGAGCTATAAAATTACCCTGGCAGAAATGCACATGCAAAATCCTCTTTTTTCAGTGTTACAAAGGCACATGGCTACTCCCACCTCCCCGCCAGGCACCTGGGATGGCCCGAGGGCTCCAAGCAGGGTGTCCATCAGCAACACCTGCCCTCAGACTGGAAGAGCAAAGAGATATTTCTGCGTTTCTCCATTTGGCCTCAGGCCTCCACAAGCAGGATGCCACAGACATGTCAGAAATTAAAAAAAAAAAACAAACAAAAACAAAACCCAAAAAACAAGACAAGGAGAAAAACTGATAGCTTAATAGTGAGTTTAACTTGGGAGGGTGGTGAAGTGCATCACCAACAACACAGATGCAGTATCAAATGTGGGCCTCAAGACAAATATTCTGCTACTTCACACAAGTTAACTAACATCTGCTTCACCATCAGTAACCTTGAAACCAACAGTGGTTCTTGTAATTTAAGAAATAGCCAACAAGAGGAAGGCTCTTGGGATGAGATCTCTAAGGAACTTAGTGGAACAAGCATAAAATGTAATCTTGCAAAGAGGAATGAGATATATGCCAGTTTATTACAAAAAATCTTAACTTGATTTTCAAGATACATCATTATATGAGTCTAGAGACTCCTTCCCCTGGAAATTAATTCATGTACAATGTTCTTTCTGCTAACAGAATAGGAGCTTTCTTTAGTAATGTGTACCATCACTTCCAAATGTAAATTACGCAGTAATTAAGCCAAATCTGTGGGACAGTTTAATTAACATGATCAGGAAGTATCCTGGCAACATCATACACTATGTATTCCAAGCAGTTTTTTTCCAAAGTTATCATTTACATTTAGCAAAAAGTGTGAATTAAATTTACCAGACAAAGATCTTGCCTCTGTCCCTTCCCTAACTTCTGACCTCTTTGCTGATGCTTTTATTTGCTTTCTTAGAAATTGTTCAACTTCAGTGGTTCCCTCTTTTTGCACCATCACTTTCAAATAAACATACCACCTTCTGCTATTTCCCACTATTTGCTCCCATTTCCTACCACTGAAAGTTCCACTGAAAGCATCAAACCAGAGGAGGGCCAGGTGGCTGGTACCTCTGAAACTGTTTTTTACATGGGAATAAACAGGGCAAGAAAGGAGGAGAGGTGACTCTGTAACCAGTGCTGGCCAACACACACCATACAGACATCAGCTTTCAGAGCCAAAACATCTTTTTGAATGACCGGCTGACAGGCAGAGGTATAAGCAAAGCTGCCCAGACGTGCTCTCCTCCAGCTAAATTACACAACAGAAATGCAGCCAATATAAAATCTAAGTGTGATTTCAGAGATTTAAATTAAAAGAAAATCAGATTTTTTTTTTTAGGGTTTGACAATGCAAAGGGAGTATGATGATACGTGGATTGCATGATACAGAGAGTCACAAGAACAGGAGGAAAAGCTGCCACCAACCCAGAAAAATCAGGATGCTTTCCAAAAACTTTAAGGAAAGTGCTGTATGTATATTTCTTCTTTAAAAATCTTACATCAGACAGATGAACTACTTACAAATGTTTAGCTTCTCAAGTTACAGAATTTATTTTAGAAGCTATGAAATACCCAGAAATTTCAAGTGATAAAAAGCATTATTTCAGTCCTACTGTGCCTATCAAATTAGACCTCTGTGGGGAAAAAACTAATAAAATGACCTGTTTCATTGAAAGGCAAAAGCTTCACTCACTGGAAGCAGACTCAGGGAAGAACAAAATTCTTCCATATCTCTTACAATAATCATTGAGTAAATACAAATATATAAAAAAAACGAGGCCAAATGTCTCTTTTAGACCACAGTCCAATATTACCAAAGACGTGATAAAAGGAATAATGAAGCCTGAAAACTGTAAACCAAGGAACACTTTACTGTATGCGATGAAATGCACTACATTAGCTTAGCACCTTAGAGGTTAATTTTTTCTATAGCCAGCGCATAATCCAAGAAAAGGTTGTGGTGATCACACACCTTTAAAAAACTGACGGTTCATTTGTTAAATTTATAATAAGCTGCAATTAGTGAAACTGCCTGGAAGCTGCCTCTACCTTTCTTTTTTTTTTTTTTCCTTAAATCCTCCTCTGTCAGTCAGGCACTTCAGAAACGATGAGTTCTTACAGAGAAGTGAAAATCTAAGTAGAAGCTTAGGAGATTAAATCAGAGCTCATGGAAACAGCTCAGAGGAGCTGGATGCTGCGAGTACATCATACTTACCCACCCGGTCTTCCTCTCCATCCTCACCCCACCATCCCATCACGCTCTCAGGAAGACACCTCAACACGAAACTTTGGGAGCGTCAGCCTGTACATGCACCTCCCATGTAAACCTGGTCATCGTTTCAGAGCGGAGACACTACGTTGGCGAGGGAACAATCACGTTGGTTGTGTTTAGGAGAAAGAAAGGGTTTTATGATTTCAAAGAACAACGAAAAGCGAGGCTTGCAAGCGCTCCTGCCAGGTTATCCAGCCTATCCCCCCTCCCAAAGCTGGCGCACCCTCGGTTACAGGAGACCAGAAGGAAAGTACTCCCCACCGTTCCCCCATCTCCCAGGCAGAAGGTCTCCAGCCGGGGCAGAAGGCAGGGGAAGCATTTATGGTCACCACAACAGGAAAGTTCAACCACACTGGGAAAATTTTCTTTTTTCATTAAGGGACGAGCCAGAATTTTCAAGTTGCAAAGGACAAAGGAGCTGAAAGGAAGGGCGCAGAAGGGAAAGGGCACTATTTGAAAGCTGCTGCCGGCAGGATGAGCCTGCAGGCTCTTTTCCACCCCTACCTGCAATCCAGTATTATAATTCTGTAAGAAAAGGCCACTCATCAATTCAAATGGGCTCTTACGAAATAACTTTGCATTTGGTCCTCACTCATAATAATACACACACGGTGCAATCCTGGCTGCATCAGAAAATGGAATAAACTTGCAGACTTTCATCCAGGATAATGGATTCAAAAGACAAACTACTCTCTAATCAAATGCAATCGATCCCTGAAGTGGTTAAAGAGTTCCCCCTAAAGACAAAGGCAAAGAGGAGCATAATATAATAAGCACCTTACAGAATAATAAACTCATTCATCATACTGACTGAGTTGTCTACATGCAGTTAAAAAAAGAAAACATATCTGGCTTTGCTCTCATTTACATGCAAGCATATCAGATGGCAAACATTGCTAATACATTCACATAAGCCAAACAAAATCTCACACTAATTTCACTTCCTTTGGGAGAAAAACAACCCTGACAGATCTAAATTTTTATTTGAAGATGACACACAAGAATGTTCACAGTGCAAGGTAGTACCACATCAAGCAGAAATTACTCCAGACATTTAAAAACACACCAGGTATATTCATCAGATAAAAGTGAATGCAAATAAGCTGGCATAGAGCAGAACATTCATAGGCTGTAACACACCCATCCTGCTGCCTTCCCACGGAGAGAAACTGCCAAATAAATCAAGCAGGGAGAGGTCACAAGACAACCCGAGCACACGGAAGATAAAAAAATGTATTGGCAGCTCATGCTGCTTGTAATATATGAGCAGTGCCCATATATATACAGCTGCCGCTTCTTTTAGGGGATGCTTTGAGTATTTAAAGGGTTCCCCTCCCACACTTCTCATATCACAACAGTACACTAAAGGGGAAAAGCCATGGCTCCTGAAAATACACCTTCCCAAGTCGCTGTTTCGTTAACGTAAGGTGAAGGTGTGTGCCGGCTGGCAGGAACACAGAGGGAGCGGAGCTGGAGCAGCAGACAGGGGCTGCCGGCTTGGCTCACAGCGTACCCTTGGTGGCATCGGCCCCAGCTTGCCAGATTCGCAAGAGGGAAAAGCAGAGATGAGAGCAGGCTGAGCTCCAAGGGGAGGAGAGCAGCGATCACGGTGGGCATTTGGCAGAGCCACTGGCACAGCCCCGAGAAGGAGGGCCAACACGCCGCAGGAATCGGCCAGGACACTTCCTCTGATGAGACACCCACCAAAGGCGACAATGAGCCAATTCAGCCAGCCCTGTCACAAGCTTTTCTACCTGGGAAAAGACCAAAATAACAGCTATGAAATAGCTAAGGAATATATTAGTCAGTATATTTTGGAACTGTGCTAAATTAAATCAGAAAAGGGCCTCTTATTATGGGACAAGAGTGCCAGATTAGGGATTATTCTGGAATTTCCCCTTTAAATCCACATCACTTCTTACTCTGAAGTAACCTCACCTCCAGAAAAGTCCCAAGGCTTGAGGCCATAGGTTCTACTCATTAAGAAATCACTACATTAAAACCGCCCCATTTCATTTTCACAGTTCTGAATATGTGCTTTCCAGTTTGCAGCCCTTGTGAAATTTAATTTCCCCAACCCACCAGGCTGCTAATCTTCAGTAAAGATGTATCCCAGTCTAAAGGCAGAATTGAAGAGGGAAAGAAACTGCTAATCCTCCAGCCACAGCTATCACAGGCTCAGCAGGTTCTTCCAGTTTATCAAGTTGACATGAATCAGAAGGGCTTGTGACACTGGATGTGAAGATGAGGACACAGGGATAGATTTGCAAAGAAATTCTCCCTCTATCCCAAATGTTCAGCAACTCCCCTGTAGAATTAACCCACTGTTTCGATGATTTGCACTATCCTTTGCTACCTACCATCCTTCCTACCTCTGCTGAGCGCTTCTAGACTTAGATGTAACATCTTTTGCCTGATACATCATTGTGTTCAA